TATTAATTACTTAAAATTTATTATAAATTATATACAAGTATAAAAAATATATTGTTTTAATATCGAGATAAAATGTTTTTAGATAAATCTTACAAGTATATAAAAACGTATTGTTATTTTGATGTGTATATAATATATTTGTTATTGTTTTTCGTGAATTTCATTGAATGAGAGGAGAAAAAAAGAAGGATCATTTCTTCCTCTCTTGAGCACTAATCTAATAATAATATACCGCAAATTATTTGTTCTAAATATACAATGATTCATATTTTACGTTTATGTCTATTACTCTGTTAACATGTAGTTTTTCTTCATAGACCTTAGCAATAAACTAAACTAAATTAAATTAAATTAAATTAAATTAAAAATTTATGCGTAGGCAGATATGACAATAATGTCTGATGGCCAATCGTGATCAATGACCTCTCAGAATAAAAAATTCTAAAATTTATAGAGGGGAAAGAATCAACAGAAATATAAATTATAAAGTGCAACGCTACGAAACTTTTACATTATTTTACTTGTTAAAATTCAAGCAAATAATAAATTTTATTTTTTACATAGTAAACAGTGTTTACGATATTTCTTAACTATAGATGTAGACGATAAAACAAAAAAATAAGAAGCTTTATGATTATTTTGTATTATATGTGAAAAAATATGTTGTAGTACAATGTGCGTTTTTATAACTAGTGAATTAGGAATAATTTATATTTTCTATAATTACTTAAAAGTTATTGACCCTCGTTCATTGCATCGCCAACAGCATTGATAAATATGAACCCGAAGCATTCATGATCTAAAATATGTTAATGTTATCTGTTGCCACTGTTTTGGAAATTAATATTTTTAATTACAATAAATATTCTAATACTATATGTTTATATATAATAAGCAAGTACATATATGCTTCTTTTGTCATGTATTTTTCTTTTCGTGTTTAAAGATAAAAAGTTTACATATAAATCTTACGCTTGTAAAAGCTTGCAAAGACAGATCCATCATCTTTCCTACCGTGAGTGTCAATTGTTTTTGCGATCTCAATATGATAAATAACAAGATTCGACTTTCAGTAGATTTCAAATCGTACCATTCACAGTTGTACGCCGCGACCCCAATTTCTTTACTCTATGAAAATGGAAATAATAAAATTTTTAATATTCATAGTATTCTTTATGATACTTTGCAAGATAGAAAATAATTATATATTTTTATTATTGTTATAAATTAACCTTGTTGTTCAAATATTCTCCAGCATAACAAAATATAAATGCTTCGAGATTTGTTATAGTGTAGAATAGAAGTGATTTCATTATTTGTTCTACCGCGTTAGGACTTCCAATTGCCTGAAAAATTGTAAAAATAATATGAGAAGTTATTAAAAATACAAATAATATAAAACAAAATAATATAAAATATAAATTAAACATAACAAAGAAAATGAAAACGTATGAATATACCATATAAATAATGCTATGCAATATAAAAAATAAATCATTAAACAATGTTATATTATTGTCAATTACAATTGGACGAATTACAATAGTTTTGTATTTAATGGTGTTACTCACTGTTACGATAACAAAACCAATAGAACATATCATTATCGTGTTTGACACAAACTGAAGCAACGCAATATACGAATAAAGTATTTCAATGTTTCTTGAAAAACTGATAATTTTTTGGTGTTTTTGAATAATTTTACTTGTAGTCGCAGCTACTGATTTATGTTTATCTTCATTCCTACGAGGCACAAGCTGCATCAGCCAGTGCCGCATAATCTCGATTTGGCCAGCCGTATGTAAGATCTGAAAATAAAAAAAAAGAATCTAAAAATAAAAATATCTTAAGTACAAAATAAAACAAAATGCAGACAGAATGTTTTAGGATTTCTAGCACAAAATTTAGAGGATCTTATGAAAAGAAAATCAACTTTTGTTCAGTAAAATCAACTTTCTGTTCTCCAGTTTTAAGGAGCCGTGCATCCGGTTATACATGATGTCAGACAGTTTATGTTCTTTGATTTTATTTCTTCTGTTCTCCAGTTTTAAGGAGCCGTGCATCCGGTTATACATACATGATGTCAGACAGTTTATGTTCTTTGATTTTATTTCGGTAAAAAAAGAACACCAAAGAAAGCAAAAATGTAGGCTAGT